AGAGCAGAATTAATGACATTTTGTGGAATAAGTTCACATAATGACAAGGAAAATAAAATCAAAGAAGTCATTTTCAAGTGCGTGGGGACTAATGAATATGAAACTACTCCAGAGCACTTTATTGTAGTTTATTTTACTTAACAAGCTTTTCATTTTATTCTCTGCATACATAATGTTGCACAAAATAATTTTCATCCAAATATGCACAACCAAACGATCCATTATACCATGTTTTATAATTGAGAATATTGACTCAGCACCCCACTGACCCTGGTTATCTAACACTGCCTTGACAGCCTATCAGAAGACATACAAGTGAGTGTGTGCCTGCTGTATAGCTTAGGTTAATGGATTTTAGCTTGTTGGCAGTGCTATCAAAAGTGAATGTAGACGCATTTTCAATATCCAAGTACTGTTGCTGTGAATAATGAGTACCTTTGTGCCAAGTGCTTTTTAGTGCACACATTTCAGAGAATTTATTTTGGTTATCAAACCAGAATAAATGTGTTATATACTCTTTTGTTGGATTTGAAAACATTATCTAAAAACCAAGACAGAAAAATCTATTATCTCTAAAATTATCATCACAGTATGTTAATCAGTTGAGATTGCTTTTTATCGCTGTGTAGTTTTAATACTACACTGTTTTACTGTAAATATGTATACAGGAACCATTTAAGACCAATTTAACAACCATAAGCACTTTTAAAAATTCTAAATACATATTGGGCTAGATTTGAGCAAATATTCTGCTAATATTGAAAAATAATTATTCCTCGTGCCCTAAACTCTACTTTAATTGATTCTAATCTCACAAACAAGTCATGTTGATTATTCTCTCAGAACCATCACACCAATTTGTAATTCAGCTAAGGTTGGAGAGAAATAAGGAAAAATGTAAACCCTGTAGCTGAACAAATTAATTTCTTATACATTCCTCAAATTGTTTGAGGAATCAGCTTTTTAAAATGTGAATTCATGTAAAGCTGTGTGATTTATATAAGACTGCTGTTGCTGTTCTCGTGTACTGCAAAGAGGCACATTCTGAAGGTTAAAGGTGGGGTATGTAATTTATTTCAGAAACACTTTTTGTTATATTCCATGGAATGCTCTTAACATCCCGATAGCAATGAATATATTAAATGCTTTGACAATAAATACATTAAAAAATGTCATCTGTGGAAGCCGTAGTACTGTAAAAAGCACGACCAATCATTTTAGCCGGCCCGGCTAAAATAACTGGATGGCCTACCTGCCTGTCAGCCTTCCATCTGTGCACAAACTTATCTCGTGCCCTCATTGGTCATGTGCGCGTTCGTGTGTGTTGGAGGAGGGGCTCTGTAAGGAAGTGGCAGATTTTTTCCGGCTATGTATTTTCAAATTCTAGCGCACTCGAGCTGGTTTCTCCAAAATTACCTACCCCACCTTTAAGCAAAAACTATTAAAGAAAGAAGATTAACATAATGGTAAGGAGGTACTTTAATTGGAAAGTCCACCTCACCAATTGCTAAATCTGTGCTGAATAAATGATGGTTATGAATCAGACTTTATACGCAAGAGCTGTAGGTAAATGAATTAAAGCTGCATCTACTGAATAATAAAATAAGCACAAAGTTAAGTAAAGTAGAGAAGGCCAGCGTTATAGAACTGTAAAACTACAGGATATATTTATAACTGTACACATCTGTGAGCAGCAGAATATAATTTCACTATTTTACCTTACTGACAACACATACTATAAAGTTTGTACCACATAATCAAAAGAAAATCTGAAGGATCTGTGGTTTCAATAAGATACATCCCACAGCTTTTTACTGTGGTCAGAGCACTTAACCTGCTGCCTGTATTGCATTTCTCAATATCTCTCAATAATGTAATTGAAATCATTATTTGAAAAAGAGCTTTTCTCTCCTCGTGCCCCCAGAGGTGTGTTCAGCACTAATTGTCTCGGGTGTCTAAACATACCTCAACACCTTCTAGCTTAGCACGTGTTTCTGTAACACGTCTTAATGAAGGCAAAAACGTGCAGACACTTTACACTTATTTCCATTTCCTTGTTAGAGAAGAGGATTAGGTGAACATTATTATTGAATGTTTAAAAGAGAGACCAATTTTCCATGGCAACCGTGTGTGTCTTTAGTCACACATTGCTGCTTATACAGTGCAGCACTGCAGGTGTTAGCTTTTTAGTTGGAGCGGAGGGGCGAGACAATGTTCTGTGCATGACTAATGTCCTGAGTTACTCCATTTTCTTCCTGTTATGAACATCAGATTCATTAGAACAGTTAAAAAAAGGAGACATCGGTGGAAAAGTTCTGATTTCAGAGATGGGCTTTACAGTGCTCTTTTCTTCTTCCACTAAATTCTATTTAATTAAAAAAGTATTAAGAATAATCCAACAACACAGAATGCTGCCATCGTGTTCCTTTGTGTGCTTTTCACACTGTCTGCTGTTTCCATCGTAGAAGTATGAGCTCAGGGAGCATGACGCAGTTTGTATTCAGTCCGTGTGACAGGCAGCAAAGCAGCAATCTTGTCTGTCGAAAGACAATGATTCCACTCAGCTGCCATGTTGTGCACACAAATGTGCTATAAGCCATCAGTCCTGAAGGCTGTCGCCCTGCACAGGGACATTTAAAGTCAGTAAACAAGTCAAAAAGATCCTCTGTGGAGGGTTAGTTTGAAAGAAGAACCTCCCAAACTCTACTTGACTTAATTTGCCTACACATATTTGGTTTGAACGTGATATCTACATTTTCACTTTAGTTATTGAAAATGTATGCTTTTTCTTTTACCTCAATCACTTTAGTTATTGAAAAATATATTATTGATTTTTGCATATATGACATTTACTAGCTGCACCCTCCCAGTGTGCCTTCAAATAAAGTATATTATAAAAAAGGAGCATAATATGGTAACTGCATGGTTACAGCTCATGCCTTATAACAGCAATGTATGGGGTTTGATCTCAGCTCTGTCAGATAAATTCAGAATTGTAAAGAAAAAAGAAGATAAAAGCAGCAGTATCACTCTTATCCAGAGCTTGAACTGAAATTCCAAGATCTAAAACTTGATTAGTCTACAACATTTTAATAGTCAAATCATTGTTTCAATATTTTTAAGGCGCACATATGTAAACATGCTTTAGTTCCAGTTAAAACAATTTTACAATTGTCTTCTATTCACTGATTTAGATCATTGTAAATTCAACATCTTTGGGTTGTGGGCTGTTTTCCAATCGAGCAAATCATTTCAAAATGTCACAGTATTCTCTGGGAAATTGAGATGGGTCTTTTTCATTTATTTCTGACATTTAAACAATTAATTGGTTGATTGAGAACAAAAATCACTAGATTAATCAATATTCATCCAACCTGTAGTTGCGCCCATCTCTACTTTTCACACAGAAGTATTACAAGCAAAACATGACCAAACGGCAAAAAACGAGGCATACACAAACCCAACATGTGCACACAACCATCCGTTACTAAACTCAGCAGACAGGTCAGGCAAGAATCCATAATGATCACCTCACGATGTCGTTGCAGATGTATCCCAGACAAACAGCAAGTCAAAAATACATAGAAACAGTCGCTCTCAAGTCCCCCACACTCACAGGCACTACTTTCTGAGACGTCGTCTGAATTGCAATAGTTTGACTGTGCATTAGGTTTGCATTACACTCAAGACTTGAGCTTTTTAGTCAATGTTCTACATGATTGAAATTCTCAGTCAGCCATCAATCTGCATTATAGACTGGTTTCCCCTTGTCTGGTGGGAGCTAACTGAAACAGATTGAGACAGCTCTTGCTCACTGCATCACTAATGGCTGCCAATGAAAGACGTCTCTGTGCAGTTGACCCGTGTGTGGAACAGGATCACGTCGCAGCTCAGAGCGATGTGGAGAACACAGCTCAATATAGGGAGTCTCTTCGGCATCAGTCACCAGTCAACAGCATCCTCATCCTATTGACTAAATGTTGCCTAGAAATAGAATCTAATCACAGGGTTTGGACAGGCTCTAGTTCTCCTAATGGTTTACCATTAGCTGACTGGAACAAAGCCCAAAGTATAAGGAAATATAACATTATATTCCAGGGTGTCTGTGTGGTTACAGTATAATGGGTTCTCGGTTATTGCCATGGATGCTGCATGTTCCTCTGTGCTTAGATACATACAGACATAGGGTTGATTAATAATCTCTTCTTTTGTTTGAATGCTTCTCAGTATTCTATGTCAAAACCCCCAATATTAACCTGAGGAAAGGACACAAAAAACAGTAGGTACATTTTGGTGGGTATGCATTTTCTCCACTCAGCTGTGTTGATTGGATAATACAGGAGTGCAGCCTAAGTGAAACAATTTCGAAGCCATTTTGCAGAAGGGCCACAACAGTCATTACCTGCATGGAGTAATTGACAGTGAACACAGGCATCCTGTTAATTGATTACCAAGGCCTGTGCTAATGGGAAATGCAAAGCCTCATTGTATCTCCTGTAGAGCCCCTGTCAAGAGCATTTCTACACAAAGACAGGCAGAGGCACACCCAATAATGTTTCTAGACTTTTCCTCAGGGAGCATTAGAATACCTTTCAGATATTCCAATGCATAATTACCTACAAGATGATGATCCAGTCAAAGATTTCACAGTGGAATATCTGGCACACTGCTGATCAAAAACAGAATAAAAACCCCCAGGGGGTAACCGTGCCTCTACAGAAATATAACTGAATTAATGGTACGCCCAGTTGCTGCTTTTTTCATCCAGGTTGAGATGAGGATGCGAGGGTATGGGCCCCTCTCCCCTCTCGTCCAGAATTCAGCCTCCAGCTCCTCCTCTGATGCATCGTTTGCATCAGTACTTGGGAACACTTGTCCGCGCGCTGCTGCACCTCCCCACAGTGCATTCCCGGACTCCACTTTACCAGGTGATGACAGACTCACGCTCAAGAGTGAAAATGACATGTTTTTAACACGCCTGAAGTCGGAATTAACGTAGAATGGAGCGTCGTCTCGGTCACTACCTTTTTATCTTTTTCTCTAAGTGGATTTGGCTCTTCACCCTAACTTCCATCCTGGGCGGAACAAAAGGGGAGATAAGGTGCATTCCCTCGTGCCAGCTGCCGCTAATTACAGAATTTCCCCGGGACCTCTCGGAGCTGGATTTCACTAATTTTGGCGAGGCATCAGCGGAAGAATTAGTGGGATTTACGGAGGGGTCACCGGGCGCCAAACCCAACGCCGGCGGGGAGGAAAAGCACACCGTTGCGGAATTAACCGCGAGCGAAGAAAGTTCGTCGAAAGTGCAGCCACGCTCCGAGGGAAATAAATCAAGTTGTCCCCAGAAGGACGCTTTGAACGATCAGCCAAAACTTTCCCACCCGAAAGAGTTCACTGGAAGTGCTTCACCCGCGGCTGCCCCTTCCCCCTGTAATGATAACGTAACCGAAAATAGCACCGGAGATGGAAAACATAACGAGGAAAACGATGGGGAGCATGTTGATGTGACAGTTAACGAGGATAACGATGTGGCCAGTTGGAGACGAACCCGGAGTGCGAGGAGCGCGGAGGCTTGGTCCGGGTTCAGAGCCGAGGACGGGGAGGACGTCTCGTTCTCGGACCTGGAGGAGTTGGAGCTCACAAGTTCGACATTTGCTCTCGCCGGGGACACGGCTCATAACCAGGCGATGGTGCACTGGTCCGGACAAAACAGCAGCGTGAGTAGTTTATGTGCCCCAGATTTACGCACGGACCTGTTTTGACGCAGTGGGGTCAGTGTTGTTCACTCACCAATCCTGCACAGTAATTTAAGTCATTTATATCAGTAGTTTTAGGAGATTAAATATGTGAGTGCTGAGATGATGCCCTGGCGAGTCAGAGGGATTCAATCTTGCCTTGCCCCCCCCCCCCCCTCTCTCTTTCTCCCTCTCTCCTCTCCATATGCCATTGTTTATTGATTAGCTGACTTGGCAGGTAGGGTCGGCTGAAGTTTAAAGTAATAAAATAATTAATATAAATGTAATGTTCTGCCTAGAGTTGTGCTGTTTTTTTTAATCGAATCACTGATTTTGGCTTTAGGCATAATCTATGATTTCCTGTGGATGTGATAGATTTCTATGCACCTGTTTTATTGCCCTATCTGCCTTTCTCAAAAATAGAGATGGGTGTTGTTTCTAAAGGTTAGGTATGCAGCTCAATGAGCACAGATTCTGGAGGCTAAAAGTGAAAGTCATTATACACCAGAGAGGTTGAAATAATAATAATAATAATTTCATTTTTATAACCTCCTTTACACAAACAATGTTACTTAAAGTGCAACAAAAAAAGAACCTTGAGAAACAAAATTAAGTACAAAATAGCATTAAAGTAATATTGTCAAATACTAAATATAGGTAGGAGAGATTAAAGACAAGTTGAAAAACAACATCGACTGATGTGTTCAACCTCCAGCTAACCCAGATTGGGAACCTCCAATTTTCTTATCTATGATTCTGAACATCTAACAACCCACAGCGGAGGATGTAAGTAAATCTGAAGGCTTCAAAACCATAGGGGTCTTCGATGTAAGCCATTTAAAGCTTCACTGTATACACAAGCAAAGGGACTTACATACAATCTTAACATCCAAGATTCTTGAAGCCATGTAGTTCAGACAAAAGCCAAGCTTTATTTTTCTTGTTTTGATCAGGAGTAAAGCAGCAGAGTTTAAATCATTTATAGTCCCTAATTAAACGTAAGATCAGTGAGATGTGTTGTAGTCAAGCCTGCTTGAGATGTAAGCACAAATGAGCTTTTTGAAATGTTGCTGCTTTAAATTGCACTCTAGAAATATTTCCGAGATGAAAGAAGCTGATTTGGAGGTGTGATTTATTACTATAAGCAGCATCTCACACACTTTGCATTTCTTTTGGCCTTGGGGCTTAGCAAAAGTATTTATGTCTTTCTTGTATTTCCTTTAGTCTTAGATAATAATTACGAATGTATAAAGTGCAGACAGGCTGTGAGCCAGTTTATCACATTTCAATCATTTGGTTCTACATATACTGTAGGTTCATTGTCTTTCTTTGGCATAGCTGTGAACATTGATGTTATGATGACATCATCTGAAGGTAGCATGTACTGTAGACTAAGAAGACCTCTGATGTATTAATGATTTAAAACAGGGTCAGCAGGACCAACCCATTTCACAAGGACAACAATGCTGCAGTCAAATGCCTCCATTGCATCCAACCACAACTAAACCTGGAATCTAAAAACATTCTTATATCCTTTTCAAACTATTGCCTTATTTAAAGGAATAGTTTAGCATCAGGGGTCATGCACTTATTCGATTTTAGCCTCTCATGTTCCGTAGGCGATTTGAGAGGGGGAAGCCATGCCCCTTGTTAGCTAAATCAACTAAATGTATCACCCTTGTTAACCTACCATCTCCTTTGTCAGTGCTCTAGCAGCAATGAGAGTGCAGAGGGGTTGTTTAATTGAATATGTGAGTCTATTCTGTTTGACTCACTGGTCCGTTATCTGACTGGGGTTTGTTCACGTTAGAAGCCTCCACTGGTTGCAGCTGCACCGCGTCCAACGGAGCTGATCGCTGCCACACGGCTTATGATTCCAGCAGACGCTCAGCAGAGCATTTCAAAAGCAGCTCTTGCTGTGCTGAGTATTGATAAATCCATGCTATCTGTGGTGCTGAAGTAGATGAAGGGAGGGGGGGGTTCTCCTCCCCTGTTGAAAAAGGATACTGCTCATGACTACGTTGAATATGAGTATGTAAGGAGAGAAGGGTGTTGTTGGAAAGTAGGCTAACCCGTCTGCCATCCTTTATATGTGCAAGTAGTGGTGAGGAAGAAAATACTTGGAGAATAACAGATGGTTAAAATCTAAAGCTCCTTTTGATCGATTTTGGATTGTTTTTTCCTGTAGCAGTATTATCCCCAGGATTTGGCATCATTGTTTTTCACAGTTACACATTACACGTTATAGTCCTTCTTAGATAATTCACACCTAATGTCACAGAGTCCAACCCCACACTTCTAATAATTGTTTAATGTGTGTGTGTTCCAACTTCTGCGACATTTGACAGCCCCCTTTCTCTGTGTAGGTGCAGGCCAGGTGATTACAAAGAAGCTCACAGATTTTCCAGTTGGTTTCCAAAGTGGCCAATTTGCTTAAACGTCTTTGTTAACTTGTCAGAGTCCAGTTATAATGGCTCAACCACTTTCCCTAGGTGTATGAGGAGATTTGAAAGGGGTTTACCACATTAATAGGCAACCTTATCTTACAGGCTAAATAAGAAGAAGCAGGCAATTTGTAAAATATTTAAGTGGATCAATTGGAGAAAGAGAAGAAAGGGTTTTGGGGCTGATCAATTCTGCCAGTATTCAATAAACGTAATATCTCCTTTTGTTAATGTGACTATGTCTCTGTGAGAAAGTGCTGCCTTGTTTATACACTGCAGGCGGCTTCACACATTGCCAACAAATCACATATCTTAATAGCGCAGCTTACTGTGATTTTCTTCTTTACAAATTGTGAAATCTGAGCAGTCGTTGAGTTGTGGACCTACAGAACATCAGCTTCTTGTCTAATCCTAATAATGACTATGATGTTTACTTTTTTCTGTCCAATTCAAGACTTTATTTTTCCATTCATTTTCTTTTGAATAGGTTTTATGTTATTGTTCCTTTTATAATATGTGCCTTTATCACAAAAGCTTAGCTGTAGTTTCATTTAGCTTTTTTAGTCAACATGAAAATCAAGGACAATGTTGCTTTTAAGGCGGTGATTCATGTGGTTTTGTCACTAGCATAGATGGTCAAATTCTCATTTTCTAGGCAATTAAGCCGTGCTGAAAAGATACGTTTATGTGTTTGCTTCATTCAGAACTCTAACGTAGCACACACAGCCATGACCTATTATACCTTATCTACAGGAGCCAGTACGGTTAGATAAATAAGTTCTATCATATTGTGTTGCAGAGGATGTTAATCATAGCCTTTTTTTTTCCATGGCCTTTGATTAGCAATCAGCCAACAAGACATCATGTATATCTAAAGAAAATGTAAGTGAAGGTTAGTGTGCAGGGAGTCATGTCTGATTTTGATTCGTGCATCTTGCTCCAGGTGGGCGTTGGTAAAATGCTCTATCTGTCTACTGCTGACCTACTGCATGCCCCGTTGCCTTATCTCTACACAAGGCTGTTGTTATGTTCCCAACGCAAGATAAAGAAAACTTGCAAGAAAGTCATAATGATACCAAACCTTCTCAGACATTATTTGAAGAATCACCTCTTTGGATCCACACTTTCATGCATTCAATTTGAATTCAACAGCATTCTGACTTTGTAAAATGGAACTACGTTAAAGTGGGAAGACACTGTCTGTTTGGTTGATCTAATGCTTTGTTAACTCTTAGATAGGCCTTCATAGCCCATAGTCTGCATGGCCAATACGTCATGAAAAGTCATTCCATGGGGGCCCTAATATATAACAGTCAAGAACATTATGTTTCGATAAACCCTAGAAAATCACCCAATTGTCAAACAGGTGATGCAAGGCTGTTATAACTGAATGTCTAACAGCAACTAATTTGTCAAACATGTTAGGGCCCTCTACACCTGTACATTTGAGCTTGACGCATTATGCAACTTCTCTTCTGTTTATTGCCAGAACAGCAACTTGAACTTCAAGAAGCTACCCAATATACGCATAAACATATATTCAAATCCAGCCAATATTTGATGATCAGGAGATTTGATTTGTTAAGCATATTTTGGTTATACTGAGGTGCTCTAGTTTCGTCTCACAGTCAAAGCACATGCAAGTAAGGTGAATCAGAAAGAGTAAATTACCTTATGTGCGAATGTGTTTGTCATTCTGTGTTAGACCTATCAAACTGTCCTGGGTGTTGCCTAGTGCTTGCTGGTATATGCTTCAGCCCCTCATGACCTTGAACACATCTGTCCTTTTCTGTTTCGCCTCAATCCAGCTGTTAAAGATGATAAAGATGCTATGTGTTTCATTTGAGTAACATTCGTATAATAACAGACAGCAAATTGTGTTATTTATTGCATAAACCATCAGGATGAGTAAAAAGGTACTTGTGTCCTTATTGTGTTTGAAGAAGACACCATGTTATCTCTAATTTCTCTTCTTCTGGTGATCCCTAAAACATCCAGGACATTCTTAAGAGTTTTTGTCCCAAAAATGCAAGCTGTTGATAGACAGCCTGTGTCCGCAATGCACTGCCTTGAGCTTAAGCATTTAATTATTCATTTATTTATTTAGTTTGACAAATGTTTTGCTTTCGGACTCTATTTCTTGGCAAAAAGGGACCTCATGTTTGAATGTCTGCTCCTGTGTACCAAAAACCTTCTCTTTGTAGCATTTGTTATGTTTTTTCCATCTTTGGCAAAGGTCTTTCATGCTTGAGAAAATACCTTTCCTCAGCCTTAAGCAACCACGAGGAGCCACTTAATTAGCAGCTTATTCTTAAAATGCCTCTTCCATCTTACAGAATGTTCATGCCTGGCTCAGGGGTGCTCCAATCCATGTTTTATTGTATTTTCAGCTCTTAGATTTGTGTGTCAATATGGCTTAGCAATCGGTTGAAGGTCAAACAGAGCGAGGGTTATTTCAAGGTGGAGGGAAGTTTGATTCCAGCTCATTGTGAGATGTGAATAACATTGTTTTAGTTACAAGGATTTAACTGGACTCTG